GGGTTCACAGGAGTCTATGGAACGTTGTAGGGCTTAGCTCGCAGCTTCATTGCTGTTTTTCCCTCATTTCCCCTTATTGGTGATGAATGTGGTCACCAATCAGAGCGTGTATTCCCACTGAGTCTTAGTCTTGGAAGGGGGTTTGCCCTGAGGAGACCTGACCACTTGCCTTGATGTCTCCTGGGCGAGCAACTTGCTTGTTCTTGTAGTAATCAGTCAGACTGCCTTTGTCGTTTTGTGTTTTTTCTGTCAGTCTTTCTTTCAAGAAGTGTCTTCTGTTCTTCTATTCGCTCCAAGCTGGTCTGCTTGTCCTGTCCACTGGAAATTTCCCACCTCAAAAGATTCTGAATGCAGTTCAGAATTCTACCTATGCTCTTATATAATGGAGAGGCTCCGGGAATACCATTTTGGGTATTCTAAAAATACTGTACTTTTGTAAGAATGCTGCTTCTTCATTCAAATAGTGGTTATTGAATGGAAGCCATTTAAGTAAGCAGTTCCTTTGTTTCTATCTTTTGTTTTTTAATTTAAAAAAATGTAAATACACAGAAAAGATAGGGAATAACATAATACTTCCTCCTTCCCCCACTGATGACACCTACATTTTTAACATTTTGTCTTATTTGTTCCAAGTTTCTAAAGAGCTTTGGTAGCACTGTAGGATAAGCACTGGATTGCTAACCATAAGGTCGGTAGTTCAAACTCACCAACTGCTCTTCAGGAGAAAGATGAGGCTTCTGCTCCTATAAAGATTTACAGCATTGGAAATCCTATACTGAGTCATGATGAGTCGGATTTGACTCAGTGGCACTGGTGTATGGTGAGGGGACAAGCTTGAGCAAGGCATTTAAAAAAATGCAGGTGATTAAACATAAATGGAGTCCTGGTTGTGATGCTGTGGGCTAATGTGCTGCACTGCAGAGTCGGTTTGAACTGCAAAGTTGGTGATTCAAGCTCACCAGCTGCTCCTTGGAAATGCTGTACAGGATTGTTATGGGTTGCAGTGCACTCAACAGCACTTAACAACAATAACAAACATACTTAACTGATACTTTAAAAATTTTTTAAAAAAGTTTTTATTGTGAATTGAATGATAGTTTACATGGAGAACATTGTACTTTCAATATTCTCCTCCAACACCATAACTTAAAAGTATCAATTCTTCTATGGTCTTCCTATTCACTGTCCAACTTTTGTGTGCAGCTGAGGTTATTGAAAATGTCATGGCTTGGGTCAGGCGCACCTTAGTCCTCAAGCTGACATCTTTGCTCTTCAACACTTTGAAAAGTTCTTGTGCAACAGATTTGCCTAATGCAATACGTCGTTTGATCTCCTGACTGCTGTTTCCGTTGTTTATTGGTCCAGTGGTGAGCATTTTTGTTTTCTTGACATTGAGATGTAATCCATACCGAAGGCTGTGCTGTTTGATCTTCATCAGTAAATGTTTTAAGTCCTCTTCACTTTCAGCAAGCAAGGTTGTATCATCTGCATATCGCAGGTTGTTAATGAGTCTTCCTCCAATC